CACAGGGCTGGGGATTTAGCTCAGTGGCAAAGCGCCTGCCTGGCAAGCACAAGGTCGTGAGTTCGGTTCCTGGTACCGAAGAAAAACCAAAAAAAAAAAAAAACCTATACACCAAATAAAGTTTAGAAATAAATACATGACATCTGTATTTATATGTGAATGAGACTATGTTAGCATCTATTTCTAACTAAACTGATGTTTCTGTAACAGACAAAATGTGTGCTAAATAACTTCAATTTAATTGTTTTCTTCAGATATGAGACTAATGGAAAGCTGTTTGCTTGTTCTTCTCACAGCTGAATTTTTATTCCTCTTGTGGGGTGTTTATCTCTGCTATGCAGTGCGGACAGTCCCGTCAGCCTTTCATGAGCCCCGCTACATGGCCGTGGCTGTCCACAATGAGCTCATTATCTCTGCTATATTCCATACAATTAGGTAAGTCATCTACGGAGCTCGTACACAGCTGCTTTGCTTTTCTGATAAGATGCAGTTTAATTTAAATAGCAAAATTGGATAAGATACATACCGGAAAAGCTTAGGAAGGGTAGTGTTTTGTAAGTTGACTAATTTGCTATAGAAATCGCAACTGAGTAGATTTTTAAAATTTTGTTGTTCTTAGTTCTCTCTGATGTGTTGGATTTTGTCTTATTTATTTTGAAGATTGTCTCATTGTTCTTTCTGTATGACATTAAAGTACTTACGGGGTATCATGAGATATTATTTTATGTGACACAGTATGTTATAAAGATATAAAAATACACGTAAAGCATACATAGATAACCATTTTTATTCATGTTTACTGTACTGACTCATACTTTCAGGTTAAACCTATTCAAAGCGGTAGCACAAATATCCTTTTGTACTTTAGATCTACTCTGCTCCATTTTCTTCATTAAATCTGCTTTTTTTTCATCGGATTTCAAACTCAAACTAGTCCAGGTCCTTTCAGAAATAAGCAAAAAAAACTAAATCTTAAATGAATTTTAAAACTTTAGTAGTAAGGCAATACGTGGTCATTACAGAGAAATAATAAAGAAAAAGCTCAACCCCCATGATCAGACCACACAAAGATAGATATTATTAACATATTAGTATATTGCCTTTAAATATTTTGTACATATATTTATGATAGATTGTGTTTTATAGCATTCATATGGCCATAAAGGACAGAGGGATTAAATTATAAATTAACATAGTAAATGGGCAGGACACTGATTTGGGGGGATTCAATGAGAACCAAGCAATAGACAATAGTTATTAAAAAATTACAAATATGCAAAATGTCTTATTTATAGATTGATTTAACCTATATATGTCATGGTCCCAATATTTATAAAGTCCAAGAGTAAAAAGCAATAACATTTAATAATAACATTTAATAATTTAAATGAACTGGATCAATTTTACAAACTTTTTTCTTGAGTGAACTAATATTGAATAAGACTTCCAACAGGAGAAAAGGTATTTCTTGTAAATATAGTATACTTTTCTTGTTTAATAAAAATATAAAATGATATGTGCATATACACATTTATATAAATTAGAACATATTACACACTATTTATGGATTTACTTTCATTCTCACCAAACTGACAGATTATACACACAAAAAACTAGTATCAAAACATTAAGTCTAAATATGTAAATACATAGAAGGCCTGTTTCCCAGTCTGTTCTAATCTTTTACTTGTTTTTAGCATTAAGCATAAAGCAAACATTTGGGAAAGTGCAAAATTTTAAACAATCTGCTTTATTTTTAGTCTCAGTTTTCAAATATTTCTATGCTCCCAGCTTTTAGTCCTACTTTTTGTTTATTTATTTATTTTTCAAGAGTAGGAAGAATTTGTTGAGAGATAGCTTCTGTCTAAGAGAGACGGAAGGGGCCTTAAACATGAGTTTTCCCAGTCCTAATATTTTAGGAGTCGGAATACTCTTTTTTTTCAAATGTAGATTTAAAACTACTGCAAAATCCAGTTTTTCTCAAGACATTTCTGGTCAAAACCACAATTTTTAAAAAATCTGGCAGTAATTTAAAGCTGATTAATTTGACATTAACTAATGTCGGTATATGTCAAAGGTATTTTTGTTAGACTCACTGTTTTACCTAAAAATATATGAATCATTCTTTCGTCTAGGTATGCATGGCTAGCTTTCAGTTCACAAGTATTGACATTTTGGGATAGGCATTCCGAGTACATGAAAATGCTCATAGGCTATAAATTCATCTCCATTGATATAACTGTCTTTTCTAGTACTTACAAAGACTCTAACCTATTAGGATTACGTAATTTTTCCAGGATATATATTCTTTGATAATAGCCTACCTGTTTAAGGACTATTTGGACTTAAGAACCTGCCACTCAGACTTAAGACCTTTTTCCTGTATATTTGTGTACATCTTGTTTATAGAGTCTCAATGTCTTTTTTTTTGTATAGTATACCTTGTTTATATAGTAATGTAGTTTTTCCTGATTGTACTGTACTCTATTTTTATATTCTGTTATACATCACAGTGCTTCATATGAGTTATACAAATAAAAGCAAAGTCATCAAGTTGGAGTTTCCTGTAACCATTTCTTTGTTCTGAATATTGTAATTTATGTGCTATATACAACTCCTCATTTAGTGATTCAATTCATTTAAAAACTTAGCAGCAGGAACAGAACTCAGCCATTAAAGGAGGACTCTCTTTCTTTATTGCTTATATGCCTCAAAGACTTTAACTTATTACTGAGTATGATGATCCCATTATAATGCTTAAAAAGAACTCATATGACCTAGGAAAACAGACTATGTTAAAAGCATCACATCTCAGAACCAAGTGAACGTTAAGTCATATTCCAGGCATACAGGCCTGTATAAGACTATGAGTCTCACAGAGGAGTTAGAGAAGATGGTAATCTATGAAAGCCATGTGCACGTGTGCGTGTGTGTGTGTGTGTGTGTGTGTGTGTATGATACTGGGACTGAACCCAAGACCTTCACACCTAGCTACATTCTTAGCCCTCTTCTATTTTGAGACAAGGCCTCACTAAGTTGCTGAGGTTGTGTTCAAACTTGCAATTCTCCTGTCTCAGCCTCCCAAGTAGCTGGAATTACAGGCATATGCCACCACTCTTCCATCAGAAAAGCCTTTTTAATGATATGCCTGAGATATAAGCATTCAGAATTTGTGTATATGTTACAAGTCTATTTTGTTTGCATTTCCAGTAACATGGGAAAGTAACTATTTTGGGTAATGCCTGAGCTTCCTTTTTAGCTTAATGCTCAAAGGACAAGAGCTGTGAAAACTAGGGACAAATCTCCTTGATGATAGTTTTGTTTTAAAATTAATACCATATATTTAGCAAAATCATCATAAATATAGTATAATACAGGTATAAAATCAGTATGTTTCTCTTTTAGACATTCATGTATATTTGTTCATGATTAGGATGTCATGGACATTTTCTTAGGCTCTTAACTTTTTAAATCTATCCAACTAAAATTCTAATTCAACTAAAATTCTAATTCTCTAATTCAAAATGCAAAAAAATCTCATTTGTAGCTTATGAATAAATGGTAAATTGGAAAAAACTAAAGGATATAATTGCTAAAAAAGACCTTTATAAAAACTACTCTTAGTTTCTTCATAAGGTTAAGTTTTTAAAACAGAGCTTTGGTTTGTACATTCACCTACTGATTTACCAGAAACTAGTCCAAAATTACTAGAGTAAGTGTTGGTGCTGAATTATTTCTCCCCAACTTGGAACACAGCTTTACAAGTTGCTCAGTAAGCTAAAATTGTAAATATTACATTTTAAATTACTTAAGACAATTTGATAATTTTAAACCACTAAAATTTTTATTTCAAAACATACAACTTACAAACCATTAGCATATAATTATATCCATGATATTATTTAGCATTTAAACTTCTGGGATCATCATTCTTTTTTTCTTAATTTTAATTAATGCTTTTAAATAAAGAATATTAGAGTCAAGATTTATTTGGATGTGACTTATAATCCAAATTTGGCCTCTAACCACTATGTATATAAAATTGTCTTCATTTTAGTTAATGTCAATTCAGTCTTTGTTTTCCAGAATCAGTTTACATACATATCAGTAATCGTTGGAACTCCAGTACATTTTATGTGTTTATACTTTCTGACTGTTAATGTCATAACAGCATTCATTTCTTAGGAATGCAAGGAAAGTTATTTAAACCATTATTCTTGTATGATGAAAAGATATGCTGTAGAAACACACGTTTGTTTCTTTTGCACAATTCACTGAAGAAAAGAAATTCCAGATAGCCTAGTGTTTTAAGTAAAAACGCTTGATCTTGAATTGCTAACTTAGGTGATTTTCATTTCAGATTTGTTCTTGCTGCAAGACTTCAGTCTGACTGGATGTTGATGCTCTATTTTGCACACACTCATTTGACTGTGACAGTCACCACTGGGCTGCTTTTGATTCCAAAGGTATTCTTCCAGTTTTCTATTTTTATTGCAAGACAATTGTTTTGAAAGAGCATAGAATTGTTTTTCCTTTAAAACAATTGGGTAATATAGGCAAAGAAAGTGTGAAAGTTTGCCTGACATTTTAAAAAATTTTAAAACTCCTCCCTGAGGAAACTGATTGTTTTTGTCTTTGTTGGGGGGTGGTTATTTATTATTTTATCTTAAATAATATTAAATTCCTTAATTTATAGTAAAATCCATGATCTGTTTCAGTCCTCTTCCACATATTTTGATATCTATGTAGGTTTCAGTTATGGCTTCAGAATGGCATTCACTATAGGTATAAACTCAAGGTCGATTTTAAAAAATACTGTTCTAAGTGTCCTTCTGTTTATCATAGTCCAAGAAGTCCTGTGTTTAAAACATTCAAAGTGGACTTATATAAGTAGAAATAAACAATCACAATATTAGGTAAAGAAGAATACCAATACTGATTGCTTCTCACAAGAACTTATCAAGGCAGCTTAATGAAGTGGAGAAGAATGGACCAGGACTCCAAAAACAGAGAGTTAAACTCACCCTTTACCATAAAGTAGCTGTGTACTATAATAGGCAAGACTTGGTCTAAGTTTCAGTTTTCCCTCTATGACATAATAGCAGTAAAGTTGCTTGGAATACAAATTAATAGTATTGGAGTTTGGGGAAAAAAACATATTACATGAATTAGAGCATTATCAATATCTGCCTCTTTTATGTATAGAACATAGGATTAGAACAGTATACGTCTCACTAGTGCCACACAGCATAGCGTTAACATTGTTGCACCAAGAGTTGTGATTTCTTTTCTTTCACTCCAGGCTTCAACTCAACTTTCACAGGAAAATGAAATGTTGAGATTCAGCCTGATTGAAAAGGACAAACATTTATAAATAAACAAAATACCTATTTTATCCCTTAATTGAATTACATTAATGAGCCAGAATTTTCATAGCTTAATATAACAATTTGTCTTAAGTATTTAAAAACGTTGTATAATTGATTCATTAGATATATGGATACTCAAAGTCTTCATTCAATAAATTTTTATTGAGTTCCAAAGAGAATTTAAAATGTGCAGTTCCAAAGAGAATTTAAAACATACAAAAACCTTGCACATGAATGCACAGAGCAACATTATTTATAATAATCAAAAGTAAAAATAACTGAATGTTCATTAACTTATAAATTCATAACTAAATATGATATAGTCATACAATGGGTTATTATTTGTCAATTACAAGGAATGAAATACTGATAAATACTGTAATTGGACAAACCTTAACAACATTATGCCAAATGAAAAACCCAGAAATAAAAGGCCATATAATGTATAATTCCTGTTTTGTGAAATACCCAGCAGAAGCAAATCTATGGAGACAGAAAGTAGATTAGTGGCTGCCATAGAGGGGAAAAGGAATTAAAATGATAGTTAATGAGTGTGAGGTTTCTCTTTCAGGTGGGAAAATATTCTGAAATTAAGTAGTGGTCATGGTTGCATAACCTTGTAAATATACTAACAAACACTGAATGGTACTTGCATTATATTTCAATGAAAGTCTATACAAATATTATTGAGGGGCTTTGCTAGACACTATTGTATATCTTTAGAACATGAGTAATGAGCAGACAAAAATTTGTGGTCTTGTGCTACTTATGTTCAGAAGATAGGATAGGGCAACTGCTGAGATAAAGAAGATAAATATTTAAAATAGTATTTTGGACAAAGCCTTAGGGAAAAATAATATAGCAGAAAGTAAATATCTAGTACACAATTTTTTCTGTTGTTTGATTTGTTTTGTGCTTCTGGGGATCCAACCCATATTCTTAAGCATATATTCTACCACTAGCTACATCCTGAGCCCTAGACTCTGTTTCTTTAGCTCATGGTTATCGCTAAGATTTTTCCCAAGAAAACTAATTCCATTATTAACAGTGACCTCCAGATTGTTTAACTAGTAGCACATGAGATTTTCTTACTTTATCATATCATTTGTAGCTTTAAGTTCATAACACCAGTAGCTCTCACTGATGTAGATGGTAGAGAGAAAGAAAGATTTACAGATTTTGTGCTTTTTGAGTCAGTGCTAATTACAAAACATACATTATTACTTATATAGAAAATTTCTGTTTCACATATTATTCCATATACATATTCACCTGGCAAGCTCAATTCTACAGTAGAAGCTGACACTAAAACATCTTATAGCATCAAAAAATTTTTCGCTTAATTAAAAAAATAGTAATTGAGTTAACCCTAAACTAGAAGAGAATCCATGTCCTCTAAGTTATTGCCTCAATTTTCATAGATTTGGTTTGCATATTGTTTAAAATGCAACTAGATTCTTTTGATTCTCCTTGTTTTCCATCATTTATCAATTCATTTCCTGATTTCTCCACTTTAAACAGAATAGAGGGGCTGGGGATTTAGCTCAGCGGCACAGTGCCTGCCCAACAATTGCAAGGTCGTGAGTTCAATCCCCAGTACCAGAAAAAAAATTTTAAAAATAAATAAATAAACAGAATAAAGAAGAGCACACAAAACAAAGTGATTCAAAAGACCACAAGAGTGCTCGCTTCCACAGCATATATAAAAAAGATCATAAGAAAATAATAAAAATGTGTGGAAGGAAGCAGAGCTTGAGAGTAAGGAAGAGCTTGAGAAGAAGTCTGTTATTTCAGAGATTCTTTCCATCCTTGCATTGACATCGTCCAGCTCATAGGCAGAGAAGACCTCTGCACTCCAGAGGGGTCCCAGGTCTTGTTCAAAATCTCACTGACAGACTTGAGACTGAGACTGGTCATATATTCTGTTCACTGATTTTTGAAACTAACATTTTTAGAGCTATATGTCAGAGCCTGAATAGCACATTCCTGTCAGCAGGATTACTTGTGCCCACAGATGAATTGCATCTTCACCAACGTGAAGTGAAATGATGACACAAGATAGACACCACTTCTAAGAAAAAAATCCCTCAAATGCCTGCAGGTCTAACGTGCTCCTCTTGGAGAGCATTTCTTGAGGTTTTTCTGTATGTTTTTATTTTCAAAACACAAACACCTCATGGAAGAATAGTGCTGCAGTGGAAGATAATGGTGGAATCCTGGAAAAGAAACAAGGGTGAAATGTGGAGTCAAAGAGGGAAAAGTCCAAATATTGCCCTCCTATGAGCTCTAGTGCGCAGCACAGAAAGACAGTGCGAACCATTGGATGGTGTCTGGTGAAATGATGTTAACACTAGAATCTTTAGAAAATTATTAAGCTGTATCTTACAATGGGGGAATGCCTATGGCTCATATTAAATATCTCTTGCAGTTTTCACATTCAAGCAATAATCCACGGGATGATATTGCTACAGAGGCTTATGAGGATGAGCTAGATATGGGCCGGTCTGGATCCTATCTGAACAGCAGTATCAATTCAGCCTGGAGTGAGCACAGTTTGGATCCAGAAGACATTCGGGTAATGCCTGTGTATCTGCTTTTCCAGTTCAGATTAGGCCCACTCGGGTATCAATACAGGCATGTGTGTGTGTGTATGTGTGTGGGTGTGTGGGTGTAAAAGGACTTGTGTTTTGTGAACATGCATTAAGAAAGAGAATGCACGTTTGTGTGTGACCTGAAGATATCAACCCTGAGTTAATCCAGTGCTGAAATGTATAATGATGATACAAAGCAAAATGCAGAAGATATTTCAGCTCTTACAATAACCTGGGCCAATCTGATAGTCTTGATTAATGTATTGATAATCTTGATTGATGTTCATAATGATGAACTGGTTTTACAAGTTGCATAATATGAGTTTATGGCATTTTGCTAATAGAAAGGAAGGATATACCTGTGAACTAAGAAGCAGATCTTTTAAAATAATCCATAACAGCATACAAGCACATAAAGACAAAAGATGCATTTTAGTAGTCTAGGAACTGTTGTTCTAAACCTAACTCAACATCAGGTATAACTTCATCAATGATTACATGACACTTCTGACACTGTGTGGGGTTATGTTTCACCAACAGTCAATAGTCTCTGTATATTTTATGGTTCTGTCTCAGTATGGTCCAAGCAAGTTGAAAGTTCAGTCCTTGCCTCATGAAGCAAGAGTGGAATGCATCAGTTCATGTCTTAACGTTCAAACATAGAATAATTAGAAAATAAGCATAAGGAAAACACTGATGTAGGCAGATGTTAAGAAAAACTATAGAACTTCTGCTTATTGGATTCGAATACTATTCATTAATATTATCTGGCTAAAACATGCAGTTATACACCTTTTTGAATTTGCTTTTGTTCTGGCAGGATGAGCTGAAGAAACTTTATGCCCAATTAGAAATATATAAAAGGAAGAAGATGATCACAAATAATCCCCACCTCCAGAAAAAGCGGTGCTCAAAGAAGGGCTTAGGCCGTTCCATCATGAGGCGCATCACTGAGATCCCAGAGACTGTCAGCAGGCAGTGCTCCAAAGAGGACAAAGACCTTGCAGACCATAGCACAACCAAAAGCACAGCCCTCATCAGGAAGAACCCCCCAGAGTCTTCAGGAAACACCGGGAGACCCAAGGAAGAGTCCCTAAAAAATCGAGTCTTTTCACTCAAGAAATCCCACAGCACTTATGACCACGTGAGAGATCAAACCGAAGAGTCCAGTAGCCTACCAACAGAAAGCCAGGAGGAGGAGGCTACTGAAAATTCCACACTGGAATCCCTTTCAAGTAAAAAACTGGTGCAAAAGCTTAAAGAGGACAGCGAGGCCGAGTCCACGGAGTCCGTGCCTTTGGTGTGTAAGTCAGCAAGCGCTCACAACCTCAGCTCTGAGAAGAAACCCGGGCACCCACGAACCTCTATGTTACAAAAGTCTCTGAGTGTCATAGCAAGCGCCAAGGAGAAGACTCTTGGGTTAGCTGGGAAAACCCAAGCTGCCAGTGCAGAAGAGCGTGCTAAACCCCAGAGAGCTCTGCTGAAAGATAGAGAGCCCAACAGGAAGCGCTCGAATTCAGACAACACAGAGACAAAAGATTATGCACCACAAAACTCCAATCCTGTGGAGGAGCCAAGGAAGCCTCAGAAATCTGGGATTATGAAGCAACAAAGGGTCAACCCTGCCACTGCCAACACTGACCTGAGCCCAGGCACCACCCGGATGAAGGACAACTTTGATATTGGGGAAGTGTGCCCTTGGGAGATGTATGACCTGACGCCTGGTCCTGTGCCTTCAGAATCAAAATCTCAAAAACACGTATCTATTGCAGCTTCTGAAATGGAGAAAAACCCAACGTTTTCCTTAAAGGAGAAATCTCACCACAAGCCTAAGGCAGCTGAAGGATGTCAGCAGTCCAATCAGAAGGGCATAGATAAGGCTGAAGTCTGCCCTTGGGAGAACCAAGGTCAGTCCCTATTTGAAGATGAGAAGCATTTGGTTTTGAAAACTCCAGTCCTCCCAGGGAGAGCCAAAGACGAGAATGCAGGTCCACATTATACAGCTAATATGAGTACTGGGCAATATGAAGAACTACCCCCCAAAATCGTAGCATCAAAAGTAGAGAATGAAAATCTCAACCCAATGGGAGACCAGGAATCAAAGACATTACCTTCTGTGGAAAATGTTCCTGGCTCCTACAGCTCTAGTAATAATTTCCAACAACCTTTAATATCACGTGCTGAGGTGTGTCCTTGGGAGTTTGAGACCCCAGAACAACCAAATGCTGAAAGAAGTGTAGCTTTACCTGTCTCTTCTGCTTTAAATGCAAATAAGACAGCAGGGCCTCAGAAATAAGAGGTCTGGGACACCTTTAGAGAATAGTATCCCCAGGAAGAAAAAAGAAGGAAATGCCAAATTCAAAATACAACAGGAAATCTAAAAATCAAAAGCTCCCCAAGGTATTTCATCATTTAAGTGAGGTCTGACAGTGAAGAAAGGTTGAAGTCATGGTCTGGAGAGGGCCAGAATGCATGTGAATGCTATCACAGTGCAGAAGTCAGACTTCGGCCAAGAAAGTCACACCCCAGGCAGCACAGGGAAAATATTCCGATTCTGCGTGTTTAAGGGGAATCACCCTCAATGTTTGCCTCTGATCGATTTTTATCCATGGGGCTTTGAAGATCCAAAGAAACACAAGCCAGGAGACACAAAAGACATGATGTTTTACAAAGAAGAAAGAGGGATAGGTATACATGACTGAAGTTCCAAGTCCCTGACTGAAAAGAACTTACTTTACCTATTTAACCTTGACAGCACTAATTTAATGCATCCTCAAAAGTATCTTTTTTATTAATGGTAGCCCTCACTTTCTTATGTTCCAGTGTACTATTGTGTCTCATATCCAAGCATTCCAGATTGTATAATTTTTGCAAATAACTTTGATATCATGTGACACAACTCATTTATGCAATCTGTAGCTACTCGATTGTTTTTGCAACTTACAGAAAACCTGCTATCTATCAACTTCAGTTGGTCCTTGAAGTATAGTAAGCTTTCTCTGGCTTAGGAAGCCATCACTGTTATGATAAAAAACTTTTAGTTTGGGCTGTGGTTTATATATTGTGAATTTGAATTTGACCCATCATTTCACACCATAGTTTGTTATACTGTCTTAATTAGGGTTTTTATACCAGTTGAGTTTCTTGTTTTGCACTTCTTGTTAGGACTCAGAGGCTTTATTACTACTGGAGATTAAGTGGTCCTACTTAGTCATGTGTCTCAATAAGTTAAGGACAACTTATCCATTGTTTGTTCAAAGTAAAAGATAGATCATTCCAATCGTCCCTTTGAACTCTTTCAGTATTTCATACTTAGCAGCATTTCCTAAGGAAAAAGCTAAGAGTGAGAAAAATATACTGTACATTACCATTGGAAGGGGAAGACTCTAGGAATGACAGAATTATAGCACTACTACAGATCCAGAAAATTTGCCTTTCAAAATGAAGACAGAAAGGTAGCTCCTAATAGCACTTTCAAGGGATTATTTTTTTAAAAGAGAAAAAAATAATGATAGCATCAAGATCATTGTATGGATATATTTTTATTATGTATACTGAAAATATGATATTTTAAATTACCTTAAGCTATTTATTCTCATAAACTTTTATTCATTGCTTCAACTAGAGGTAGAGTTTGCTGGGCTCAAATCCCAAAGAGGTTTTATAACCTAATTTACTGAAAGCCTATAAGGTGGCGTGGGTTCTTCATTCTCCCAAGCACTGGAAAACTTATAAGTCTTGCAAAATGTTATTGCAAGCCACTTTACTCAAAATGTAAAGGGAAAGATTTATTTGCAAGGCAAAATAGCCCTCGAAGCATATCTCATAAAACTTATTGCATTCCACGCTGATCTCTTGGCATGAAAATCCTAAACTGCTGACCTAGCCCTACTGGTGTGATCATGCAGTGAGATTTCTAACCTAAGTCTCATTTTATTTAAAGATGTACTGCTTTAAAAGATAGAGCCCAGACTTCCATTTTTCTCACTCTCAATACTGCAGTATCAATTGCCTATTTTTCCAGGGCATTTCCAGCCTAAATAACTGTTCTTTTGTTTCATGAGCAGTGAGGAGAACATGCTAGGATGGTTAAAGATGGACAAAAGGAGTCAGAATGTGGATACGAGGCTATTCTTAGAGAATATTATTCCCAGTCAAAGGTAAAAACAAAATTCTGCATATCCATCATCCAACAGTTTTCTCAGTGATTTTTCTTCAGGAGTAAGCGAACACTTCGCCATTTTGCAAAGCTGTGTATAAATCTTCCTCACCCATTTGCTTGCCCTATGCATTTCTCAGGTTGGTGGGGTAGGTTTGAAAAGCTATAGAAATTCTATTTACAAGTGTTGCCTTCATTTCTTTCTGCCATCCCTTCCTTTACAGTCGAGGCCTATCCACTTGGTGACCTTAGAATACTACTTTAGGTATATTTGTGAATTTAGTTTAGAGTTCCTAGATCCACACACTTGTTTCACTTATGTCTGAGAGCTGTTAGCACTTGATTCACTTTTCAGAATTCAACAGTCAAGCATCAGTGAATTTTATTGCACTTCAGGATGATCCTGATAGGGATGTGACTTATAGAAGAATTGCCAAATTATACCTTAGCAACATTCTACAGTCCATAGATTATTCTCCACCAGCATAAATCGGTGAGAATGACTAGGGTCTTTCCTAGAGTTTCATTGCCAGTACTTATCACCAAGAGAAGTCAGAATGTACAATTCTGGAGGTTATTATCCCAAGCTGATAACAAGAAAGTAACTAAACACTATTAAGGTCTTGCAAACATTTGCTAGGTTGTCCTTCCCAATGCATGTGCAGGCTGCATCCTGTCCTTGTTTTTGAGCCAGGGTTTATAAATAGGTAGATTTATATCCATCTTAATAGAACTGTATATTTTATGCAAGAATTAAATGCTTTATGATATGAATCCTAACTCAACCCATTGTAAACTTCGGTGGCAATACGGATTTGAAACTTGACAGTTCTCTTGTATTTGCTTCCTAGGTTTCTGCATGCAAGTGATGACAGGTAGGACTGAGTAAACACTGCCTTTTGACTTCTAGCATTTAGCAACCGAGAGTTGTAGAGTCAACAAAGCTGTAAGTCTCTTCACTTAACCTGTGGTTCTTCTGAAACTATTATCTGAAACCTACAGCATCCCACCATGAAATATTTGGTAAATTTCTGTTGTGACGTGTGGCAGCATGTAAATAATTGTAACTTCTCTGCAATAAAACATATTTATATGAAAGTGATCTGTAGTGATGTGTGAGTTGTTCATCTACCAGAAATCGAGTTATTTTATTCAGTCCTCCTTAGGAGGTTTCACATAAATCTTTAGCTTTGTTATCCTTATGCACATATATCTTCTTATTACCCATCTTCAGAAGTAAGAGGTTAGCCAAACGTAATCCCAAACATACAGATAATCATTTGTTTCAAATAAAACCTGTTAGGACTACTGCTTTGGATTTAAGAAAGCTCTGCTTAAAGGGAAATTAGTTCAGCTGCTTTTCATTTGTTTGTTTCCTCAGTATACATACCAGGCTATCTGCTAAACAGTGATGATACAAAGATAAAAATACTTGAGGAACACTTAGGCCTAGAAGAGTAGCCAGTCACTGGTACGATAATACACAGATGAATGTAGCTGAGCCAAGGGGTCAAGAAAGGTTTAATAGAGAGATCGAGTTCACCGGGGTTAAATTCTACAAAGGCATTAGGGATGGAAGGGAGAATGTGAGGCCAAAAGGTAAATGTGCACAGCTTTGCATGAACGCTTCGGTTAGCTACAGCTTTATCCCAGTGGGTGCTATCAAAAAGCTTTAAGCAGGGGCAGAATCAAGCCTTATATTGGAAGGATCATTTGAGGAGCATCCCAGAAATTGATGAAAGTGAAAGAGACTAGAGACAGGTGGACCAGTTAGAACACTAGTGTGAGTGTCATGGTAAGGAAGATGAGGGCCTGAGGAGGAGAAGGATTTTGTTCCTCTAATCAGAATCACATCTCCAAATAGTGTTTTGCTTTATTATACTCATGTGAGGAGAGGAAAAACAGAATCATTACATTGTGGCTAATTTCAGAAACTTTAAAAGCCCTCTCTGAAGACTGGTAGACTTCATACCATCCTCTCATAAGAAATATGTAGAATAGGAGCCCATGTGTGTGCTATGGAAAACCTTGAAACTAGACTGGGAAAGGGAAGGATTACTAAAGGGCTCACTGCAGGGTAGACTTCATTTTCTACCTGAAGTGATAGTTCTTGGAGTCACCTCCAGAAAGAGAAGCAGGAGTGGTAACAGGACCGAGGGGGAAAGTGCATCTTCCACCATATCCCTGCACCCTCTTTCCCTAAATGAGGCAGAGCCACTGCCCTTTCCCATGTGCTCACACCATTCTGCACTCCATATTGTGGGCACCCTATGAATAGAATTCTTATGAAGTCTGTGGCTACAGCTCGGTGAACTACCCTAATGCGCTAACCAAAGAGTACTTGGAGACGAACAGGCATGAGAGTCAAGTCGACTGCATACTCATGTGACAAGGAAGATAGTCTTTTAGTTATTGGTGAAATTGCTTCACTGACGGCTGTATTATTTTTTTCATTTATACTCATAGTGTTAGTCATTGTTATTTTGTTGTAAATTTGTAATCTTTCTTTTAAAAATGCCTCAGGGAAGTACTCCTATCAGAAATGTAGTTTCTTACACAAGCAAAAGTAATAATGCAGGGCTGGGGGTACAGCTCAATGGCACAAGTGCCTGCTTGGCAAGTGCAAGGTCCTGAGTTCGATTCCCAGTAGCCAAAAAAAAAAAAAGTAATAATGCAAATCTATTGCTCTGAAATACTGCAAGTTAGTTAAGATTTTCTTTATTTCCATTTAATCCATTCTTTTCTCCTGAATAGTTACAAAGACAGAAATAATGTCTTTCTAATTTTGACTATTTTTTCCTCAAACATTTATTTCTAGGAAAGCACAAGAGCCAAGTTCAAGCCCATTGTATGTCTAATTCCGTGTTAACTGGTTAGAAGGCAGATAATGAAATGCATGAATCGGTTCATAATTTCCCTCTCTTTTCCTGTGATGTGGAAATAGTACATTGCCAGAAACAGAACAATCTGATCAAATGAAAATGGAAAATGAGAGCTAAATAGGAAAATGTCTGTGCGGCCCAGTACTCACAATCTTAGAAAGAAAAATAAATTACATACAAATAAAAGACTCATGACAGTGCTTGAAGAACATGCTCCAATTTCAATTCAACCAGCAATAGAAAAGGGAAAAATATCCTCTTTTGTACACATGATAGAAATATTATAGTTTTCCCCAGACATACCCCGGGATTTTATTCTTCCGTGCCTTTTGTATTAGCTCTTTAATGCACCTCAAATTCTTTCCCTCCTTCTCACCATCACCTTATGTCCGTTTCAATACTAGAGTGATAATATACTTTCCTGTACAAAAAAAAACTTTTGAGAGTAAAAGTGCAGTATTAAAATTCACACCTGGATAACAGTGTAAAATGGGCTATGCCAGGCAACTGGGGTTTGGTACCAATGCCTGTTTCCTGTGTGGAACCTTTCCCAGTGTCCCACGTCAAACGGATTCCTGTCACCTCTGAGCTCACTTGAGAAACGGCTTAAGATTCTTACTGACCAATTTGCAATCTACTTTCACACTTCTCTGTATCAGCTCTAGAGTGAGAGCTTCTTGACAGCCAGTTTCTTTCATTCATTGATATATCCTCAATCTCAAACTATGTGCTTTTCCTTGAGTTCAATACATAGTCGCCAAATTGTAATTGTTGACTACTAGTCAACAAAGTACATTTGAAGAGAAAGAGAAATCCTTGCCAAACTTCTAAGACTGAAGAATTAAGTGATGCTCCATGGAAATTTTTGTGAATCCTGGAAAATCCATGGATTATGACTAAATCACATTAATTCTAACTCTCCAGTTTCATAACGTAAGTACTGATTTGCCATCAGTAGGAAAAAAGATGCCTAAAATTCAGACCATGGCCCATTTTTTCAGAGCTATAAAAGATATTCCCATATGTCATAAAAAGTAAGAAGTTTTTAATGAGGCTATAAGAACTTGCTTCTAGTTATTTGAATACTTCTTGGAAAATAAGGTATTGGCGAGCTCTGTATAAAATACCCACATAAAGATAGATTCTCGTGCTAGACTGCCAAGTTTCTCAGAAATGAAATCTTTAGCTTGAATAAATATTGATATTTGACTCACTTTTGAATATCCTATCCATGTTCATGATTTGGGTTACATAGATTATATAGAAGTAATCACTTTATCTGTGCATAAAAGTGTTCCATGTGTGAACCAAAACATATAAGATACATGTAAATGTATATACACATATGTACATTGTTAGTGATTGGGAAAATATATATATAGTGCCGATATTGAAAGGTAACAAAAATATTTTCTTCCCTTTACATGTTAAAGATTAGTAGCTATAGGCATATATGGCAAATAATTTAACTCATGAATTTATCCCTTTGCTACTTCTAATAATTGTTATATGCAACAAATCGCAGAACTGGGATTACTGATGTTACTCAGACCAAAATCAGTATCAGAAGAGTGTAAATAAATAAGGGTTGGGTCAGAGTCAAAGGATGGCCCGTAAAGGAACTACTTTGTTACCAGTGAGGAAACTATAAATAAAGATGCTCAAGATGACCGCGTTCAAAAACTCAGTTTCAGAACCATCTGAATAAGAGTCAGCGAGTTGTCCTAGAACCTTTATCTGGAGCATTGGAAAGCTAAGAAAGACTGTTACCCAAGCACACACAGACACTGACCCTTATACCTCTCCTAGGTAAGAGGCAGGAGAATCATGTGTTTCTCTACTCTGGCTCCGCCCAGCCTGTGCAGTTAGTTGAAGCCATGCACTCTTCCCAACGACTGGCAACCCATGAGGCACAGGAGAGCCAGAGCAAGTCACTCTTCTCCTGCTCTTTGCACCCATTTGCTTTCATTCCCTCTCTGTGTCTTTCAATGATTAAGTTTGAAAACATATGCAAACCATGTAAAAGTGTATAGAACCAAATACTGTAAAGACACATTTTTAAAAGCCATGTGGAATTTGGAAGATACTGCATAGCTCTTTTATAACATGCACAGAATGGTAAATAGTGCCAGAATGGAGCAGTGGGTGGAAAAGCAAGAAGTCCAAGGTCTGATTCTGAAATGTGTCAGCAGGTATGTAGTATTGGGAAAATTTCTTCCTGTGTTTACCTTTCTTACCTCAATGAAAAGAGGTTTAAATTAGATGATATCTCAGGACCCTGCAGTTGTACGACTAACATTGTGTGTGTGTGTGTGTGTGTGTGTGTGTGTGTGTGTGTGTGTGTCTGTCTGTCTGTCTGTCTGTCTAAGTGCTTTCACTTTGAATTAAATTGCTTGGCTAGAATGAATAGAGCTAAGCAACCACTTCCCACCTAGTGAACACCTGACACGTTTAAAATCAGCTAGGGAAAGAAGTCACACATATGGAAAGGGGCACAGTGTGAACAGTCTTCAAGCCCCTTTATTTTGGATGTACTTTGTACAAAGATATATTTATAGTTTCCCGAAATTCTCAGGGGAAAATTCTGAGAAATTTATTTCAAAAAGTAAAAGGAAGCTACAGTCGGATCTGAATCAGAAGAAGCCGGAGAAATTTTCTTTCTGGATCCTGTTCTTTGCTTAGTCTCTCACTATGACAGTTCTGCATTTTCAAGCTGAAGTGGCTGTGAATACCCTTCATGTACCATTGAAAACTGGGGCAAGATGTTGTTGGAAAACTGTTTTAAATGAAGTTATTTATAATCTTATTTTTGGTACTGGGAGTCGAACTCAGGACCTTGCAATTGCTAGGCAAGCGCTTGGGCCGCTGAGCTACATTCCCAGCCCAAGTTCTTTATAATCGTAAAGGTGAATAGAATCAAATATCATAGGTATGTAACTTTATGTAGTAAATTTTATGGATAATTAAGCCAGAGAAAGTCAATTTTGTATGACAAATGCTTACCCTGCCAAACCATATTCTATTCTGGTGATTCATTTAATGCCAAATTGGAGAAGAGAACATTGTTAATAATCAGAAATAGCCTAAATAGTGCTCACTTCAGCAGTGCATACACTAAAAAGAAATAGCCTAAATAACACAAACCACACATTACATTTTTATTTCTTCACCTTATTGTTAGCAATTTTCCTACTATATTTAAACATGAAAAATATAACAC